TTGAGATAGTCAGGTAAAGGATAAGTACTTCTCCTTCTAACGGACTTACCAAGACAGGTGGGGAGCTCAAGTATTCTTTCAATGCTTTGAAGGTTTCTTTACACCGAGCATCCCATTGAAAGGCTTTCTTTAAGACTTGAAAGAAGGGCTGACACTCGTCTGTTGATCTGAAAATGAAGCGACTCAGGGCAGCTATTCTCCCGGTTAAATGTTGTATTTCCCTCGTGTTCGAGGGGAGGCTGCATATCCAACACTACTTTTACCTTTTTTGGGTTAGTCTCTATCCCTCTGCTATTAACTATGAAGCCCAGAAATTTTTCTGCTGACACCCCAAAGGCACACTTAGCTGGGTTGAGCTTCATCTTGTATTCTCTCAGGACCTAGAACAACTCTGCTAGGTGTCCAATGTGGAGCTCTGCCTTTAGTGACTTGACCAGCATGTCGGCAATATAGACCTCCATGGAGGTCCCAATCTATTTTTGAAACATTTTATTCACCAGGCGCTGGTACATACTACTAAAAGGGATCACTTGATAGTAGTATGTCCCTTGCTTAGTTATGAATGAGGTCTTCTCTTGGTCACTGGGATTCATCCTGATCTGATTATACCCAGAGAAGGCATCTATAAAGCTAAGGAGCTCATGTCCCGCATTGGCATCTACAATCAAATCTATCCGGGGTAAAGGAAAACTATCTTTCGGGCAAGCATGGTTGAGGTCTGTAAAATCAATGCAAAGACGCTATTTTTCATTTGTCTTCTTGACTAGGACTACGTTGGCTAGCCAGACTGGGTAATGCACTTCTCGAATGGCTTTTGCATGAAAAAGCTTGATGACCTCTTCGTTGATGGCTTTCTGACGCTCTGGGGCGAAGCTCCTCCTTTTCTGCTTAACGGGCTTACATGCTGAATTCACGCTAAGCTTGTGAGTGATGACAGAGGGATCAATCCCTTTCATGTCCTTTTGCTTCCATGCAAAAACTTCCTTGTTCCTTTTCAAGAATTGGATGAGGAGATCCTTGATCTCCTTACTCAACTTGGATCCAACGTAAACAAGATGTTGTGGCTCCTCATCAATTTGAACAAGCTCCAGCTCTTTTGATGGTGTTGGCCTGGTCTTGAGTTCATCCCTCATGTCAAGCTCATCCAATTGGATGCTCTCAACCTCCTTATTTCTCATGGATGCCATGTAGCATTCCAGTGCTACGCATTGGTCTCCTCGGACCACTCCAACTCCGTTTTCTATTAAAAACTTCACTACAAGGTGATAGACAGAGGGAATAGCCCTTATAGAATTGAGCGAGGGTCTTCCAAGGAGCATATTGTATGCTGAAGGTGCATTAACCACTAAGAATTTCATAGTTGTTGTAGTCTGACAGGGTGGGTCACCTAAGGTCAAGATAAGTTGGATTGACCCCAAGGGCAGCACCATTTCTCCTGAGAATCTCAATAGGTGAACACTTACTAGTTCAAGCTTTTCTCTTCTTATATCCATTTTGTCGAAAGCAGAAGCAAAAATGATGTCTGCCGAATTGTCATTGTCAATCAAAGCACGATGGACAGTCTTGTTGGCCACCACAGCTCTTACCACTAAAGAGTCATCATGGGGATATTGGCAACCCTCCAGATCTGAATCTGAGAAAGTGATAGCCGTGTCTAAGCGTGGAGACTTAGACACAGTATATACTTCGGGAGCTTCTATGACTCTAATTTTTTGCAAGTGGGCCTTTCTGGCAGACTTGGACCCTCTTCCTCTGGCAAATTCTCTATATATCACTCTGATCTCCCCCATAGGTTACTGGTGTGGCTCTGGTGCTTGACGTTGAGGGGGTGGAAGTGGGAAAGCTCGGTTTTGATTATCATTGGCCACATAGCGTCGCAGCTGCCCTCGTTGGATTAGAAATTCTATTTCCTTTTTCAATTGGATACAGTCGTCGGTGTGATGACCATGGTTTCTGTGAAAATCACAATAATTCGTAGGATCCCTTTTTCCCGGGTCTGTTTTCATCCGGGGTGTCCACCATAAAAACTTCTCATTTTGCACCTCATACAGTATCTGAGACACCGTAGCAGTCAGAAGGGTGAGTTGCCTGAGTGCATACCTTGGTTGTAGCTCTGGTTGTGGAGGGCGGGGGCGATCCTTGACATTTCCTCTTCTCTTCGCGGAACGTTCTTTGTTTTTTCTTGGAGACTTGTCTCGTTCTCTTTCTTTTCAAAGACTTCGTTCTCTCTTCTTTTCTTCATTCCCTTTCTCCTTTCTCGACAAAGAGCTCCCGACCTTGGACAGGAGCGCTTCCTCACCATTTTATGTATTTTTCTGTTTTGGCAAGCACCTCCGCCATACTAGCTTGGGGGTTCTTTGAGATGGAAAATATTAGATCTTTTGACTGAACTCCCAAACATGCTATGAAGGCTGTAATAGCAAATTTTTCTTCTGGGACATCCACCTTCAAGGATTCTGAGTTGAACCGCTGGACATAAGGCTGTAGGTTTTCATTAGGTCCCTGTTTCACATTTAGCAAATGATAGCTCGGTTTCCTATAGGTCCGAGCTCCGATGAAGTGAGACACAAACGAGATTGACAGTTCTGTAAAAGAGAAAATCGAGGCTAGGGGGAGTCTGTTGAACCATGCTAAGGTTGAGCCCTTTAGGGTGATAGTAAAGGCCCTGCATCTCACTGGATCTTGATATCCATGCAACTTCATTTTATTTTTGTAGGTGTTGAGGTGGTCTACAAGATCTTTTATCCCATTAAAAGCATCCACCTGCGGCATTTTGAATTTAGGTAGGAGAGGGAAGTGCAGCACCCCAGCAGTGAATGGGGATTCGATTTGCTGCACCAAGGCATCCATAGTGACTAAGGCCTTGCTCTTCACTGCCTCTTTCATCTGGCTGAGCTCTTGCTGGATGTCTTTGAAACATTACTCCCAGTGGTGTTCTCTTCTCTCTTGTTGATAAGGGAAGAAGACATTTTTCTCCCTTTCTTTATACTTTCTTTGCACTTCCTCGTTGTGACCATTCCTAAGGGGTAGACGAGGTTCTTGTCCTAAGGTCTGACTATTCTCTCCCACCTCATTAACTTCTCCGAGGGAGTCGAGATACGGTTACTCTCTTGGTGGTGGATTATTCTGGCCTCCTTGGGCCGGTCGCGCCTCTTGTGGGCGTTGTAGGAGCTTTAAGAGTTATTCGTTCTGTTTTATCAGACGTTCATTGACAAAACGAAGGGCCTCCATCTCATTATTCATGGGAAGCCTTCCCATGGGGGGATTGGCTTCTTGTGTGTTTTCGGGTTGTCTGCTATTTGCGACTTCCTGTTGATATTGCATCCGTAGAGGATTGGTCTGACTTCGGCTCATGTTTCGCGTTGATACCATTAGTCACTGAAAAATCAGTTTTATTTGTAACAAGAACAGTCGTTCCCACAGACGGCGCCAAACTGATGGTGTTAATTCACTTTTACAAAAGATGAGCTGGGATTACGTTATGTTGCCAAGTTGATGGAATAATATCTAGGACTTTGGAAGTTAAGACAACAGAATTATAATAGTTCACCAGCTTGGGAGCTCGGCTAGTCTACTCTGAAATGGAGGTTCTTGCTCCTTTTGTTTTATTTACGGTGATTACAAGGTTGCTATGACTTCTTTTTGTCACTAGGGTTCTCCCCCTTAGGGGGTGTTACCTTGCATTTATAAGGTCATTCTCTACTAAGAAGGATCTTAGCCGAGATTCTTGCCCTTATTTTGTGGGCTACTCCTAAATTCTAGGAGCAGATCTTGGTTGGTTGAGATTGGATGCCTTGATTACAGCTTTCTAACGCTTTAGGATCCTTTCGTGATTATCCAGTTGTTATCTTGCCTTAAGAGACACTCGGCTCTTATCGTCTGACCTCTGCTAATGTGCTTGACCTCTTGGTCCGAACTGACCTCCTGAACTTAGCACTTAAAATTTATTTTAAGTATCATCAGAATTAAAATGAGTTCAACTTTAATTCTTTACTCCTATGTTAAAAGGAGAATTCGTGATAATTACTAAAAGATGACAAAATCAATTACTTTTGACCAAATGCTTAAAGAAATCCTTCAAAATTATTCGTCACTACATTCGTTTTTTTTTTAATCCCATGACTTCCCTCAATCCTCGGAAAGGCTGCAACTGTCAAGCAGCCCAAACGCAATGAGAAAGTGGAATGAGTATTCACTGCCCACTGCATTTCTTATTTTACCAGTTAGGTTTAAGTAATTGATATTTAATTCTAGGCATAGTAAGAGATGTTTTAATTGAGGTGATGCACCAAAACTATCTATCAATTTTTTGCATTAATATTTTGAGTGATTTTACGGTACCAAAAAAAAGAAATATTCGATACGGGTTAAAGTACACTTTTTAAATATAAAATTACAAATATTTTAAATAACTTTATAATCAACCATGAAATATTACGACTAATCCTAAATAAAATTCTTAACTTGTGACTTCTTTATGCGGAGACATAAAAGAAATAAGAAATATTATGTAACTCAAATTTGTAATTTAAATTTATATTTTAAATATAGAGGATCATTGAATGAGTGGGTCCTATTAATTTTTTTAAATAAGACTCAATAATCCAATAATTCTCTTCATTTAAAATAAATATTTAAATTATAGATTTGAGTTAGATAACATTAATAAAAAAAAAAAATAGGATTTGTTTACGCGGGTACATAAAAAAATAAAATTGTGAGTCTTTATGTGGAGTCAGTTAATTCTACAACCGTTGATGTCAGTTCTAGAACCTCAAAAGCCGACAGAAACTTGCGCATTAATATTGGGATGTCATCATCACAAAAATCTCAGATTAAAAAAATCATCACAAAAATCGCTGCCTCAAACCCAAAAAAGAAAAAACAAATAGAAAAGAAAAATAAAAGATGACAAAAATAATTAGACCTTGAAGGCGATGTCTGACGTGATCTTTTTCTATCGGTGCATTAAATGGACGGCTTGGATTCACTCTCAGCTCGTCCCCGCTCTGTTTATCTCTACCCCCACCTCCCATTGTCTCTCCCACTCCCAAAAGCTTCTCTCTCTAGTCTCAACACTCTGCCTAACACCCACACAGAAACACACACTCTCTCTCTCTCCCGTGATGTTGGGCAAGCGTCCAAGGCCTCCGATGAGTAGGACGATGAGCATGACTGCGATCAGAGTTGATATCGGTGACGTGGAGCTGCCGTCGCCGTTAGCTCCTCAGAGTACGATAATCAGTGATGTGAAGAAGGTGGATGGACTAGATGAGCATATTATGGAGGGTCCAAGTGGGTATTATAACCGTTCGATGGCCATCTTGTCACCCAGATGCCACATGAGTGGTTCAGGCGATTCCTCCATGGAGACGGCTCATTTCTTGAGGACATGTGGCCTCTGCAAACGCCGTTTGGCTCTTGGTCGTGACATTTACATGTACATGTATATATATATCTCTCTCTCTCTATCTCTTGTTCAGGATGTTAAATTTCTTGTGTTTGATTTGTTACAATCAAGGGTCGCTTGTAGAATCAGTTCTGTATGTGTGTGTGTGTGTGTGCAAGCCTGAGCAAAGAACAAGTTATCTCACTCATTCAATCATCATCGCACTGCAATCTATCTAAGTATCTATATGAATTTTTGTTTACATAAAACTTTATCAAACCTTGTCCCAATCAGTTTGAAAAACCTCGATTTCATTCATGTTTTGAAGACTTTTTGAGATTATTTTTCAGAGACTCAATGAAGTTAATTTTTACAGGAATTGCAATCAAAAGCACCCTACAAAAGTTGATCAAATGCCACCAGTGTCTATAACAGTGTTCCATTTTTAGTTGATTGATCTTCTTGTGTGAGGATTTTAACTATTACAAAATATCAATAGTTTATTGCATTGATTTTCTTCTTTCATGATTTTTCTATTATTCAAAAAAGTAACTGGTGCTTTATTTTGTCTTGTGTTTTTTCCCTGGGTAATGGAGTGATAAATAACAGCGGTTTATTGCAATGATATTCTTGCTTTTTGATCAATAATACTCTTGATATTTGAATTTTTTTAACATAATTTAATGGACTAATCCATCACAACTATGAAATTGGAAGTGGGTCTACACGAAAACTGCAATTCATTGTTAATCTAATAATTATGAGTTATTAAGTTAACAAATTAAATTGAAAGAACATTACTCTCGTTGATTTTTTTATTGGTGAAAAAAAAAAAAAGGTAACGCTTGTTTCCTTTGTTTTTGGGTACTACAGGGGTGATACAGCATTTTGTAGTGTAGAATGCAGGGAACAACAAATGAAGCAAGACGAGAGAAAAGAGAAGTTGAGGGTGGCAGCTTCAAAGAAATTAAGTGAAAGCCATTACAATCACTCATCACCACCCACGGCAGCCCCTGAAGCTTCCAGCAATAGCGAGACTGTTGCAGCAGCTTAAAGACGATATATATATGGCCAATATACAACTACTATAGATGTGCATATACCAATAATGCTCGAAAACTAATGTTTATCATACACAACCTTTGGTATACCTTATGCATGTATAAGTATTTTTTTTTTCTTTTTGGGGATGATGTTTGAACACACCACCGTTTGGAGTGTGTTCTTATCGCTGGATCAATTCCTTACTTTTGCATGTATAACTAATGACTTAACATAGTGATTACGGAACATGGAGCTAGCAGAGAGTGAATTTCAAAGATTTAAGCTCTATGGCTGCGAAATTATCAAAAAGGTTAGCCGCAATGCATTGTGAACAATGATTTAAAAAAAAAAATAGAACAGTTGGGTTGAAATATGACATGAGATTGAACAATTGATATCGTTTAAATGTATACCGTGATTAATAACACGAATGGCACTTAATCATGTCTCATCTAAATCATATTTGGATCAAGGTTGACATAAAGTGAGAGCCTATTATCATAATATCAAGCTTTAGTTTTTTTCCCTAAAGAATGGTATAGTGGTAGCATGGCATAATCTTACTGTAACTATCTGAGGGTGCCATAGGTAAATGAGCGTTATGTGAAATGTCAAAATTTTAGTGTATGATTTTTTTTTTTAAATTTAAATATATCGATATTTTAAGTTGACAATAACATAAGTCTAAACTATTTGTAATTATTAATATTTAATTATAAATTTATATATCGTAAGTTTGAATCTTCGTAACCCCTTAAGATTAAATTATAAAATATTTATCTCTCGTGAATATTCTAGTTCGGCGTGGATAACCTACTTTTGATCAAACTAGGGGAGAGAATTAATCGAGGTGCGCGTAATCTGACCCTAACACCCTGAACTGTTGAACCAAAAAAAAAAATACAATACAATCCACTAATATAGAGATGCACTTATTTTTGTGGGTGTAAATTCAGTATTGAAGTATTTCAAATCTAATATATGAGTTTTCATTGAGAACCCTAGAAAAAATGTTCTATTGATTTTTTTCCCAGCGACCACCCCGATAGGCCCTCACCAGTGGGATCATAAAGCCCCTTACCGCGCCTGGAATACCTCTCGGGACCAAACCTAGTTAGGCTAGCATAGCGACCAACCACCAAGTCTCAATGGGAACTCTAAGATTCGAACTCTCAACCTCAAAGTGAAGAGTAAGACTGGTACCCCATTAGACCACCCTACTTGCTGATTGTTCTATTGATTTTTAATAACAAAACAATTCTCTAATGGTTGTTACAACTTAGAAGATTGTCACAATTTTGTTATACTCAATTATAGCCGTTAGATTCCGTTACTGGCCCGTTACTAATGTGGCGTAACAGCTGTTATTATTTCCAAACCGCTATACCTAATTAATGTGATTAAACCCCTCCAATCTCGTTATTACGCCTTACAAACAATTTGTCTTTTAAAGTCTATTTTTGGGGATTCATATTTTTACTCAATTTCTCTTAATAGTAAGATCTTCTTATGTGAATAGGTGAGGGCTCCACTTATAATTAACGTGTCCCACTTGAATTAAAAATAGACAATCTATCAGTGACTGAAATTAAATAAAAGTGTAATGAAGAGGATATTAATCCTTATGTTTGGAACATATCCATTGTAGCACGTCCGACTAATTACCTTTCAGCTAATTACCATATTTCATATTAAAACTTCCAAATCCATTATAGAAATTAAATGGAAGGAGGACTTAGACTAAGTTGTCTTTTTCTTTCAATATTGGTGTAAAAAATCTACAAATTTACATTTTTCTTCCCAAAAACCGAGAACTCACCTATGTTTTTTGGTCACTACACTGAGCGGGCAGCCTTGTAAAACTGCTTGGTTAAGCATTATGATAAATTAATCCCTCTTTCTTTGTCAAGAGATTGTTGTAGCAGAATATCTTATCATGATTAAAACTAATTAACACAAACTTCTAATTTTATTTGTTTCTTTCGCATGATCGTTTTCTCTAGTAGGACCAATTACATGCTGAGCAAATTCCGCAAAAAGGGCTAGCCTAGTGCTGTTTGATACTATCACTTAAGGTTTAAAATTGAATACTTTAAACACTTAATAAATTAAACTCGTTTGATAATTTAAAACTCATACTACTTAATATTTTAAGCACTTCTTAAAAATAAGCTAAAATTTTAAGTAACAAACCATTTACTTATCACTTAATACTGAAAATGTAAGTCAATAAGAATTTTATCAATTTTTCATAAAGGACNCAAAAAAAAAAATACAATACAATCCACTAATATAGAGATGCACTTATTTTTGTGGGTGTAAATTCAGTATTGAAGTATTTCAAATCTAATATATGAGTTTTCATTGAGAACCCTAGAAAAAATGTTCTATTGATTTTTTTCCCAGCGACCACCCCGATAGGCCCTCACCAGTGGGATCATAAAGCCCCTTACCGCGCCTGGAATACCTCTCGGGACCAAACCTAGTTAGGCTAGCATAGCGACCAACCACCAAGTCTCAATGGGAACTCTAAGATTCGAACTCTCAACCTCAAAGTGAAGAGTAAGACTGGTACCCCATTAGACCACCCTACTTGCTGATTGTTCTATTGATTTTTAATAACAAAACAATTCTCTAATGGTTGTTACAACTTAGAAGATTGTCACAATTTTGTTATACTCAATTATAGCCGTTAGATTCCGTTACTGGCCCGTTACTAATGTGGCGTAACAGCTGTTATTATTTCCAAACCGCTATACCTAATTAATGTGATTAAACCCCTCCAATCTCGTTATTACGCCTTACAAACAATTTGTCTTTTAAAGTCTATTTTTGGGGATTCATATTTTTACTCAATTTCTCTTAATAGTAAGATCTTCTTATGTGAATAGGTGAGGGCTCCACTTATAATTAACGTGTCCCACTTGAATTAAAAATAGACAATCTATCAGTGACTGAAATTAAATAAAAGTGTAATGAAGAGGATATTAATCCTTATGTTTGGAACATATCCATTGTAGCACGTCCGACTAATTACCTTTCAGCTAATTACCATATTTCATATTAAAACTTCCAAATCCATTATAGAAATTAAATGGAAGGAGGACTTAGACTAAGTTGTCTTTTTCTTTCAATATTGGTGTAAAAAATCTACAAATTTACATTTTTCTTCCCAAAAACCGAGAACTCACCTATGTTTTTTGGTCACTACACTGAGCGGGCAGCCTTGTAAAACTGCTTGGTTAAGCATTATGATAAATTAATCCCTCTTTCTTTGTCAAGAGATTGTTGTAGCAGAATATCTTATCATGATTAAAACTAATTAACACAAACTTCTAATTTTATTTGTTTCTTTCGCATGATCGTTTTCTCTAGTAGGACCAATTACATGCTGAGCAAATTCCGCAAAAAGGGCTAGCCTAGTGCTGTTTGATACTATCACTTAAGGTTTAAAATTGAATACTTTAAACACTTAATAAATTAAACTCGTTTGATAATTTAAAACTCATACTACTTAATATTTTAAGCACTTCTTAAAAATAAGCTAAAATTTTAAGTAACAAACCATTTACTTATCACTTAATACTGAAAATGTAAGTCAATAAGAATTTTATCAATTTTTCATAAAGGACAAATATACCCTCACCACCATTGTGTCATCGCCGCCACCACCAACACTATCACTATCACCACCACCCACCATTGTACCACCGCCACCACCACTATCACCATCGCCACCATTACAAATACTACCGCTACCATTATTATGCCATTGTCACCACCACCATCACCATTGTTGCAACCACCACCACTATTGTTGTCACACCACCCCCACCCCCACCACCACTATTACCAACTTTGTGTGGTCGTCACCACCACTACCATTATGTCATCGTCACTACCACCAATGTGCCACCGCTACCACCACTGCCACTATCGCTGCCACCACCACCATTATGCCACCACCATCACCATAGTGTTGTCGCCTTTACCACCATCACCATCATCGTTGTTGCCACCATTACCGTTTTGCCACTATCACCACCACAACCACCACTACTATCACCAATGTGATGGTGGTGATAAGAATAAGACAGTTGCAGAGAGATTGTTAAAGAGAATGGTAAAATTAGAATAATAATAATTTTCAGACTTCAGCTCTTTATATATGTCAAACAGTTTGATTAAATTCAATATTTAAATTTCAGTTGATACCAAATATTCTATGAATTAAAATAAATTAGCATTCAACACTTAAAATTCAACATTTCAGTTTTTAGTGTTCAACTTTCAGTTTTATCAAACACCACCTATGATTGTGAATCATAATTAGACTCTCATTCATATCGACTTGTTCATTTTATCCAAAGGAGTGATGCTTTGAAGGGGAAACTTCAAAGGGGTGGAAGCAAAAAAAATTGTCTTACAATAACACTTCAATCAACAATTTTAATTTTTTTTCTCCCAGTTGATAGACGTAGAATAACATATCAGATACTAAAATATTTATTTAATACAAAAGGGTCAAACATTGATATACAAAACATACATAATTCTACTATAATCACTAAAGAATGAGGTAAAGTGCAACTATTTATAATTGACCCCAAAGAGTTTCCATACTAAGACATAAAGTAATCCCAAGTTAGTGGGAAAGGTATTGGGAAATTATGGGGGTTCCTTTTTGCTAATGGAGTGCCGATCGGCAGACACATGTTTAGTATATGCCAAAAAGGTGTCGACTGGCAGGCACTATACTTGCCAAATGGTACTCTGCGAAGGCTTCTCTTACTTTGTTTTCTTTTTTGATATGAATCCTATTTAGCTAAGGTTCAACTTAGGACCTAGAGTCCTAGTTAAATGCTACTCTGAACATCCAGGAGCTAGTGATAAGGGATCTAAGAAAAAGACTCCTAGTCTAACTCTACCTCGAAATTCTAGGGCCTGGTGAGGAGGTTGAGCCAATCAACCCAGAGTTTTGGTTCCTTTGGAACACATCTCCATATTGTTAAAAATAAAAGCCTCCGGGTCCTAGGTAAGGTATTCAATCCTAGCCTATTTACTCCATACTCTTCTTTGACTTGCGATCTAACTTAAATATAGGAGTTCCTTTGGTAGCCTCTAGTCATAAGTTCACTTAGGTGTTCTCTTATCTTGCAACTTAATCAAGGTCTACTCATCACCCTCGTTGTCCACAAGAGGTGGTTACTCTTTGTATGAATTTATTCTAATACAATTAGTACCATTTGTGGAAAATGACTAAGTTTTTTTTCAACTTAGAAGCCTTGAATCATGTCTGGCGAGAGAACCAACGAACCTTTAACTAGCTGCTTGGAACTTACACTACCCCCAATCCTTGAAAATCTCTCAAATT